GAACATCTTAACAATGATAAAGTGCCAAAAGTATTCTTAAAAAGGTAAAACAAATGTTTACCCCTTATGCACCACCAGTGTCAGTAGCATGCCCTGTTAGCCGCCCTCTAATATATCTTAAGCGTATTTCAGTGCGTGTGTCTACAGAATAGTCTGGTAATGTGGTTGGCATCAGCCACAGTATGGCTGCCATGGAAGACATCGTATTAACCACATGGCACTGAGGCTGAAGCAGAGTGCCCAAATTGTTAAAGTGTTTAAGCCATGACAATAGTGTGCATAGCTACATGCTTCCCTTTTTTTCCTCACAACTTCGCGACCTAGAATTGGACATATACCAACTTTTTCTTGAGGATACCCAATATCTACTTATTCCTTTTAACAGACATCGACTTTATGATCAATATACTATAATTATTCATAAAGCTTGGAATTGTGCATTGATACTTTAATCTTAGATGTAGACCTCAGCTCTATTTTGGGTTAACTTTACTCTTTTTACTTAGAATGGATTTATTTGCTAGTCAATGTGGTCATTCCTACCCATGATATTAGATTAACCTTTCTATTTAACAAGTGTGCCTGCTGCCCATCTATGGATAATAACTGCACAATAATCAACTAAGAGCTCATCATGTCACATGAATTTCTATAATACAAAATCTACCCTTTCTGCAATTTTATCCAGAGTCTAGAAAATAATGATGGGATCCCTAAAATAGGTTTACTTGTTTGTCAGGAAACCTTGGAAATGTTCTTTGTAGGATCAAAAAAGAGATGAGGATTTGGTTAGGACAGACACGTACAACCAAAGATCAATTCCTAGAGTGTTTTTGTCTGACATTAGTACAGAATTACTTAATGATCACATGTAATTCAAAGTTCTGGAGCAAAATGCATTGCTATAGCAAGTTCTTAGTTGAGATGTGTTTAAATGAACACTAGAGCGATATGAATATAAATGTGCATTACTAACACTATATTGTCCTAGCCCACCCCTCCACAAGGATTAAAAGTGCATTTACTTACCTTTCCTCCCATGCTGCACCACTATCTTTACTGCTGGCCTGCCTTCTTGATTATCTGAGTCAAGCCAATGCTTTCCCACAGGAAAACCTTGAGAGGCATGTGCTCATGTACATTAAAATGACTCGGTGTGCTAATCATTTCATCTATATAACACCATTTTATTGAAATAGCAGAGTTTTACTGGGCTATTTCTGCTAAAGCTCCTCTGTTGGCTTTTAAAGTGACAATACCTCTGTATTTAAACAGCAAAAATATTGGTGTTCATGCAAACTTAAAGGACCACTATAGTGCCAGGAAAACACTCATTTTCCTGGCACTATAGTGCCCTGAGGGTGCCCCCACCTTCAGGGTCCCCCTCTCCTCCTCTTTGGCTGCATGCGCAGCAGGAGCAGCAGGAGCTGCGCGTGCATTCAGCCAGTCTCATAGGAAAGCATTCATAATGCTTTCCTATGGACGCTTGCGTCTTCTCACTGTGTGGTTTTCACAGTGAGAAGCACGCAAATGCCTCTAGCGGCTGTCAATGAGACAGCCACTAGAGGCTTTAGAGGCTGGATTAACCCATTTATAAACATAGCAGTTTCTCTGAATTTTTTTAACCCTAGAGGGACCTGGCACCCAGACCACTTCATTAAGCTGAAGTGGTCTGGGTGCCTAGAGTGGTCCTTTAAGCTAGCGGGGCATGGCAACCATACCACTTCCTTTAAGGACTAATTTACTTTCAGGTTAGAATATACATTTAAGAGTAGTAGGATCCATTTAAATAAGCAAAGTGTGGTCCTTAAGAGAACAGAAATAGCAGATGACATCAGATAAGTCAAAATCAATACCCCAAAAAGATATAAAATTACACAATTATGCACTAACCACTAACACTGAAGCATTAGTGTACTGGAATGCTTTAGTGTGCCTATCGTCCCTAAACCTAGGATGCAATGCTTATGCAGTGAATTGTTCATAAAGAAGGATACAAGCTGGTGCATGTGCCTTTGTAATGTTTTTATATGACCAGCAGGATGAAAGTCCACTTGCGAAATGCCACACTTTAGCAGTCATTAGATAATAGAAGAGGTTGAGACTCCACGGGGAACCCATAATGCCATGGTCATTTTGATGTTCCCAGGGTGATCATTAGCAACAGCTACATCTCTGTGGCTCAGGCTTTTTAGAAAAGAGTAAATTTAATGGGACTGAGTAACATCACATTTTCAAAATGTCAAATATATCTGATTTGGCATTAACTGAATGATTTGTTTTGTATTCAGTTGGTGATCTGTTGGGAAAACCAAAAATGTTTATCTGAAAATTTAAAACTTAATGGACTTAGAAAGAATTCTCCTTGCAGATATCTAATATTTATATTAATTATACTAATAAATACATCAAAATAATATATAATAATTCTAAAAAAAAGTGCAAAACATATAAAGTATATCCCATGTACATACAATTTAACTAGATTCATCTCTCTACGAATGAACAATTCTGATGCAAGATAGAGTGTATTTATTTCTGCTGTTCATTTTAAGAAGGCAAGTGAAGGGTATAATTATTCTTTTTTTAGTTTGTTTGTTGTCCGTTGTTACCATATGTATTCTTATGTTTAATCAATCAAGCATGATCAATTCAAATCAGTTGTTTTCTGCGGTATATGAGCTTGGCTTAACCTGATCGAGTTTGTTCATCTTTGACTGCATACTTCTTTGTATAGCAAGCCATTTTTTCCTTCTTTTCCTTGGCTGAATCTCGAAACACATGTTTTATATTGTCGATCTTGTTCATTGGCACTGGGTTACATAATGGATTATGATAATACTGTGATAATTACTGTAGAGGTTAAAGCAGTTCAGCAATATGATGTAGCTTTAATTTGTTGCTGAAATCACGGTACTGATGTTGGTCATACCCACAGAGGAATTAAAACCAAAAGGAATGAGGGAAGAGTCTCATTCTCCTTAAAATCTTGTTTTGAATAGATACAAAGCTCCCTGTGCCTTCCTCTGGCATTCAGATATAATCTGCAATGCCATCTGTTTGACTGGGCTCACAGCCAGATTTACTTTATTAAAGCAGTATGGGGTTTATAATTGCATTGTTCTTCTAATGTAAATATTGCCTAGCATAGCAGGAAGCCATTCAAGTGGAAGAGTGTGTTGGACTATCCCGGCTTATATAATACAAATAAATTAGATATAGCGCTCTATGGCGGCTTAGTATATGCACATTTTTTATCTGCAAAGCAATCTGATTGAATCATAGATATAAAATACACAGATCTGAATCATTAAAATATGTATATTGAATGAAATACTACTACGATAGGAATGGCATGAGATCAGGGATGCAGGTTGACACATTGAAAATCTGAGCATGATCCAATTATATAACCTTTCAATCTTTATTAAATTTTATAAGCCAAGAAAACAATCTTTAGCACCTTCAACTGCAGCACTGCCTGAAGTATGCAATATCACCTGAAAATGTAATTTTCATTTGGTGAGATATTTTAACATTATCACTAAAACATGACTTACGGGGACCAACATCATTTGCATATATAAATGCAGGTGATAGCATTTTTATTTTATTTCATAATTATGTAAATTGTCTGACAAAACCAGGTCACATTTAACATGAAAAGCCATTTGCTAGATAATTTTACAGTACTATGGAAGCTGTCTGAATATCCCTGTACTTAAACTTGTCAAAAATAACTATAAATGTCAGTGATCTAGAAAAAACATTATACATATTTCATATGTTTAATTTAAATTAAAATGTTCATAACAATTCAATTAACTGGACCACTAATAACTTTTTAATAGTAAAGAAAAGTAAGGCATTTTTGTGTTTTTTTTTTTTTTTCTTTTTACCATAAGAACCAGTGGCGACTGGTGAAGTTTTAAAATGTTTGGGCGCCAGACTCCTCCCCCAGTACAGTACATAAATACTCATATAATACACAAAGCTGAGCAGAATACAGAGATGCTCACACAATAAAATAAACTTGGCACAACATAAAGATATCTATAAAATAAATAGATCTCAGTACAGTACAGAGATAACCATACCACAAACAGAGCTGAGAAAAAGATAGAGTTATAAAACACAGAACTGGACACAATACAAAGATAAACAACAAAGTAAAAAGGAAAAGTGGCACTAAAATCTAATATAAAAAACATAAATAAAACCCAGTGCAACTGTAAAATCACCCAAGTGCTATGTATGCAAAAAGCATAGTCTATTCTCCATGTTGAGTGGGGTGGGAAAGGTTTTTTTTTAGCGTAATTAACACACCTGCATTGTTTTTAGTAATAGGTGAGGGTATATAACGACATTTGTTCACATGCACAGCTACATGCACCTGAGGAACTATGCGAGCATAGTTTAGAGCAGACTTATATAGGCTCTAAATATTGTGAGTTTTCCAAGTTATTTTAATTACTATTCTAATGTGTACATGTTGCCCTATGATATTTTTTTTTTTTTTTTTTAATGTGCAAATTTTTTACATTTAATGAGTAAACAATAGAGTTGTGTAGGTCAGCGCATGTGTGTAAGAAAGTGTATAGGCTTATCTATTGACCATGTTAATATAAGTGTATCAGACGCTTAATGAATGAATAAGTGACGGAGTAGTTATCTCTGAGTAGGCAGACGCTTCAATATGCTTATTATGCTCGCCTTCCCATCTGGGGATAGCTTATTAGACTGCTTGAAATTACCAGTAAGGTAGATTCCCAGACAGGTGTGGGTATATCTGTCGAAATCACCCAACCTGGTTGCCCATTCGCTGTTAAGATGCCCACCCATGACGTGTGTTCCGACTAAAGCCTAAAAGCGGTTGTGTGGGATTCGGTACAGTGATTGCAGTTATGGTAGATGTCAGAGTGGCAGTCCCCTTATGTTTAGCCTGCAGTTCAACCGATGCCCACCGTGGGCAGGATGTGGATCTTCCCAGCCTTGCTGCTTCATAGTTTCAGCACCTCAGCTGTAAGTAGTCGGCCCAAGCATTGTGGTCCTCTCACGGAAGTTAGGTAAGTATAGCAGGCATAGCTGCAACGCTGGAGCAGTGTCTTGTACTGTAGGTCGTGCTCTTGGGTGGGCTTGGTGGTAGGTGTGCGGGAGTCAGCCTCCGTTGATCTCTGTAGAGCTGCATGCGGTGGCGTAATGCGTCTCCGGTTCTTCATCCCTGACTTGGCTCGTTCCAGGCTCGGAGCCTGGGTTCTGAGTTGCTTCTTAGTGGGCACCTGTAGATATTTATTCGACTGGCGCTGGCTATGTGCCGGTGCGATGGGATCCTTGGTCTCTCTTCTGGTTGTTCGCTATGCAGTCTCTGCCATTTTGGGTGCGGCCTCTAAGTCTCGGGTGGACACTGCCACAACTCTGTATGCCGGTGCACCTGCTGGGGCCTCAGGGTGTGGACCAGGATCACCCCCCTGGTTCATAGGAGGGGGATTGGGGCCAGCTCCACTCCACTTCGTGCTTCTGGCATGGCACTGTTAGAGGGGCAGCAGCCATCCACCTCACTCACCGCCCGAGTGACCCCCATCATGGACGATGGAGAGCGCCCCCCCCAAGGGACTAGAACCGGTCGGCAAGCCTCTCCTTGGAGCCAGGATGCCTTCTTGCACTGTGCCGCAGCTTCCAGTTTTCAGGTGGGTATCTTTTCAGTTTTTATGGGCTGAAAACCTAAGAAGTTTCAAGAGCTTCTCTGTTATGTGACTTTGCAGCATGTCAGTCTGGCCCCGCCCCCGCCCCCCCTTTTTTAATGTTCACAATGCATAGCATTTACCTGTTACAAAATATCAAGCATATTTTATACCTTTGTGTGCGCGATCACATTAATCATATTCCCATTTTTGCATACATATTAAGTGTTTTAGTGACAAAGCACTTGGGTGATTTTAAAGTTGCACTGGGTTTTATTTGTGGTTTTTATATTGGATTTTAGTGCCACTTTTCCTTTCTACTTTGTCGTTTATCTATGTATTGTGTCATGTTCTGTGTATTATAACTATTTTTTCTTGGCTCTGTTTGTGGTATGGTTATCTTTAGACATGTGCAATTCGTTTCGGTCCGAATGTGAATTCGGACGAATTTCGGGCAATTCGGACATTCGGGTACTTCCGAATGTCCGAATAGATGAATTGTCGAATTGTCCTGAAGTCCCGAAGTTGCCAAAGTTCTGAAGTGTCAAAGTGCTGAAGTTCCGAAGCACAGTATTGCCTAAGAACTAATATACTTACCCAGTGGAAGAATGAAGAATGTTACAAAGTAGACAATTTGAAAAAAAGTATACAAACATAGCCAGGATTCAGCTGTAAGCATTTGCAACAATTACAACAATCAAGTAACATACATTCATATAAAATGTAAGTTACTTGGCCAGTCAATGTATTGACAGAAATGAATAAGTAGATAACTCCCTAATTCCCACGGTATTAGGGAGCTATCTACTAAAAGGCTGAAAGACCTAAATTGGTCTTTCAGCCAACTTGACTAATACTAAGTAAAGATTACTTAGTATTAGTAAATTATGCCCCTACTCGCTATACCGTGAGTAGGGGCATGTCTATTAAAACATGTTATAAAAAAAAGTCCCCCCTCCCGAGCCCCTACCTGCGACGTGGGACTTATTGTCCCCCCCGGTCCCCACCCCTGAGCGGCGGGTGGGGGTCCTAAGTTAAAATAATGGGGGGAACTATTGTCCTCCCCCCAGCCCCCACCCCTGAGCGGTGGGTGGGGGCCCCAAATTAGAATAAGGGGGGACCTAATGTCCTCCCTCCTGGCACCCACCCCTGAGCGGTGGGTGGGGGCCCTAAATTAGAATAAGGGGGGCCCCTAAAGTAAAATGATGGGGGGACCTATTGTCCTCCCCCCTGGCCCCCACCCCTGAGCAGCGGGTGGGGGCCCTAAATCAGAATAAGGGGGGGACCTAATGTCCTCCCCCCTGGCCCCCACCCCTGAGTGGTGGGTGGAGGCCCTAAATACTAATAAGGGGGGGACCTGATGTCCTCCTCCCTGGCCCCCACCCCTGAACGGTGGATAGGGGCCCTAAATACTAATAAGGGGAGGACCTAATGTTCTCCCCCCTGGCCCCCATCCCTGAATGGTTGGTGGGGGCCCTAAATTAGAATAAAGGGGGGACCTAATGTCCCCCCCCGGCTCCCACCCTTGATCGGCGGATGGGGGCCCTAAATAAAAAAATAACCCCCCCTCCCCCAGGTGACTAGGGGTCCCCAAACCCCTAGTCACCCCCTCCCCCAAAAAACTAACCCCTACCTACCCCCCTCACCCTAAAAATAATGAGGGGGGGACCTTTAACTAAGTACCTGTAAAAAATAAATAAAAAAATTTACCATTTGATGTTTTCTTTCTTCTAAAATCTTCTTTTTTCAGCCTCAAAAATGCCTAATAAAAAGCCATAATAACTGACGCACTTTGAAAAAAAAAAAAAAACGAGCGCAAAAATAAATAAATCCATCTTCACCCATGGAGGGCTCCGCGCAGACTAAGCTCTGCAGGGCGGGGCAAGGCTTATAAAGCCTTGCCCCACCCTGCAATTAGGCTCAGAGCACTCTGATTGGTAGGTTTACGAAATCCAATCAGAGTGATCTGACAAGTAAATGAAGAGACTGACAGGTAAGTCTCTACATTTACCTGTCACAGTACTCTGATTGGTTGGCTTGAAATCCACCAATCAAAGTGCTCTGTGTCATTTTACACAGCGTGGGAAAGTTCTTTGGAATTTTCCCACGCTGTGTAATTTGATTCATAACACTCTGATTGGTTACTTAATGAGTCAAATTACACAGCGTGGGAAAATTCCAAAGATTGTTTATTTTTTTACAGGTACTTAGTTAAAGGTCCCCCCCTCATTATTTTTAGGGTGAGGGGGGTAGGTAGAGGTTAGTTTTTTGGGGGTTTGGGGACCCCTAGTCACCTGGGGGAGGGGGGTTATTTTTATTTTTAGGGCCACCATCCACCGCTCAGGGGTGGGGGCCAGGGGGGAGGACATTAGGGCCCCCACACATCGTTAAGGGGTGTGGGCAAGGGGGGAGAATATTAGGTCCCCTCTTATTCTAATTTAGGACCCCCACCACTCAGGGGTGGGGGCTAAGTGGGAGGACATTAGGTCCCCCCTTATTAGTATTTAGGGCCCCCACCCACTGGACATTAGGTCCCCCCCTTATTCTGATTTAGGGCCCCCACCCGCCGCTCAGGGGATGGTGCCGGGGGGGAAGACATTAGGTCCCTCCTTATTCTAATTTAGAGTCTCCACCCACCGCTCAGGGGTGGGGGCCAGGGGGGAGGACAATAGGTCCCCCCCTTATTCTGATTTAGGGCCGCCGCTCAGGGGTGGGGGCCGGGGGGGACAATAGGTCCCACCCATCAATAGGTCCCCCTTTAGTCGGGAGGGGGGCCCTGCTAACTGTTTAATAGACATGCCCCTAATCACGATATATAATACCGTGGGAATTAAGGAGTTATCTACTAAGCAGCTGCAAGAGAAGTCCTGAAGTGCAGAAGTCCCGAAGTCCCAATGTCCCGAATTGCCGAAGTCTCGAATTTTGGAATGCCGAACCGAACCGAAAATTTTCCCCATGCGCATGCCTAGTTATCTCTGTATTGTACTCAGATCTATTTATTTTATAGAAATCTTCATGTTGTGCCAATATTATTTTATTGTGTGAGCATCTCTGTATTCTGCTCAGCTTTGTGTATTATATGAGTATTTATGTACGTGGCATTCTTGGAAAGGTCAAACGCATACATGACTACTGTGATCCAGAATAGATACGCAGCCATCTTGGGAAGGTCAAACACATCTATGAAGGAAAGCATAGTCTATTCTCCATGTTGGGTTGGGCGAATGCCAGCTCCTTAAATTACGCTTTGTCATTAGGCTACCCAAACAGAGTGCTCAAAAGAGCGTACCAACAAGCCTCTCAGACTGACAGACTTTCAAGTCTTTGATCCGTTAGGAAAGACAATTCAACTACACCAAGGTGTATAGCAACCTATGACAGCGGATGGACTACTTTGTCCAACATTTTGTCTAAAAACTAGCCCATACTCCTACACAACTCCATTTTACAACAAACATTACCAGACCACCTGTCCCTCATGGCTCGCAGGTCTTCCAATTTACAAAATCTTCTTGTACATAGCCACTTGGAACCCATTCCACCTAAATCCAACTGGCTAACCCAGATGAACGGCACCTATAGATGTGGCCATTGTAAGGCTTCTCAGTATATCTTGCTCTTCAAATCTGTCAAATCAACCCAGTCCAATATCATAGGACATACCAATGCATTGATCAATTGTAGTACCACCCGGATTATCTACCTCATCACCTGTAGTTGTGCTGCTCAGTATATTGACAAGACCTTCCAGCAATTTTGACGCAGGATACTGCAGCATATTGGATCTATGAATAATGTTATGGCACCTACACCAGTAGCGAGACACATAGTCGATTTCCATGATGAGAGAGTGGAGAACCTCAGATTTCAGACAATAGAAAAACTGACTCTCAATTCCAGAAAAGGCAATCTTAATAGACGGTTACTACAAAAAGAATCTCAATGGATTTATGCATTTAAAACACTTGCACCATTGGAATTTAAAGAATTCAAGATTCAGGTATGGTGAATAACTATATATCCAATATATATATATATATATATATATATATATATATATATATATATATATATATACACACACACACACACACATACACACATATATATACACACATACATACATATTCACATGTATACATACACATTTTCATTTTCACCAATACATACATTCTCATAAGATATTTCAAGTATCATATCTATTAATTTGTTATTTACATAATTTTTGTTAGCTCATGTTATGACTTATACCTTAATTTCTTTCCTTCACTAGACAAGTTGTGTTCTAAGTGGATTATTCCCATATTTGGCACTAGCTTCAGTTGCTTTGGGAACTTAGATAGTTATTCTATATACATGACAGAGACTAGGCAGTCATCATTATTAAAATCACCTTTCTACACGGCACATAACATTAGGAGTTAATTGTAACTATGTAGCCTAGACATCTGTATTGGGGGTCTCATCAGGGTAAAGGTTGACATCTATACTTTGTGTATTGCTTTTTATTACGTTTATTTTCTTGCTGCCACTACAAA